CCATCCATCCATCCACCCACCCATCCATCCATCTATCCATCCATCCACCACCAACCCATCCATCCATCCACCCACCCACCTATCCATCCATCCAACCAACCACCCACCCACCCATCCATATTATTTCTCATGCCAACCAAGCCTCTATGCCTTAGACAAACCCCTTTAACAAAACTCAAGCCGAGTAAAACTCCATCAAACCAAGAGACCCACTTGTCTAGCAGAGAAGCAGCACTTACTTTCCTTTAGTTTCTGAGCCTCAGCTTAGTTATGCTGAGGTTTGGCTTGAAAACCCAGTGGGTACAGATGTAACCTGGATAAGACTGAGAGACTTCAGAGAAGGCATACTCCCTATCACAAGGCACATTTAGGATTTGTTTCCTTTCTTCTTTACAAAGAAAAGGAGCAAGGGAAAACAAAAAGCATGCTGAGATTCTGGGCACAGAAAAACAAAAACCAAAACCCACTAAGAGCAAAGTGCAGCCTGTCTGTGTCCTGTCACCAGCAGGCGCTCCAGGGCTTTAAAACAAATACACAGAACTACTCATCTGGCCCTTTGGGTTCAGCAAAGCCTGTCACTTTAAACCAGTTCTGGGTGTGTTCTGAGGCCAGCCAGTGCCTAATGAGGAACACATGGGCTCTGGAACGCGCCTGTACTTGGTCAGTATCACATCCTCTGTTTACTCCCCTTTGAGGAGAGCAGTTCTGGGCTCCAATGCTGGGAGACACTCTGAAATGGCCTTTTTCTCTTTGGTCTGTAGGTCTGAGAGTTTTTCTAGGAACATTCTCACATCCTGAGCTCTCCTTGTGGAGAATGAGGAGGTCTGTATCATTTCTCCTCCTCCTAAGTTGGTCATTTCCGAGTCACAGGGCCCACCAGGACCTCAATTGCAGGGTGATGAGGTGCCCCAACTTAAGTGTGTGTGTGTGTGTGTGTGTGTTTGTAGGGGGTTCATGACACAGACAGAGAAAAGAAAGAGACAAATGAAAATACTGCTTTCAACCTGGGGAAAGACGGCTCAAGAATGGCAGACTCTTGTTCAGTGAAGCAATCACAAGAGATACCCTTGGCCCCCATGAGCTGTCTGGGGGTGGGGGATGGTGGACAAAACCCTATTATACACTAGACAATAAAATGAGGCGACAAAGGGCATTAAGCAGGCCTGTGGAGACCTGCTATAGTGAAGTCAGGACAAAGGAGACTGTAACATTCCAGTGACATTCGAATTTAGCAACTCAAATTCTGACCCCTCCCTTCCCCTAACAATGACTCAAAAATACAGTATTTTCCCTCTTGCCCCCACTCCTCCCACAATTGCTGGCTGATTGTTCTACATAAGAAACCCACACCCGAGTGTCAGCAACTGGCGCCAACTGGGAGGAGAATGTAGCTTGGCTTTTTGGCTTTGAATATGGCTTTGAACCCAGGGTGCTGGGAAAGGCCTTGTGGAGCTGGAGTCTGGTGGATGTCAGGACTCCCCCAGAGGAGTGGAGGAGGTTTGCCTTGGAGGGGAAGGCTGAGGAAGCGCAGAGGGCCGGTGGGATGAGGGGAGGGACGGTTTGCTGTGCGGCTGTGCGGCTGGCATGTCCCTGGGGAAATCACTGGCCTCTCCCTGTGTTCACTCTTCAGCTGAGGAGGATGCCGGACTCTCACAGTCTGACATGGGAGCGATCTGTAACGAGAGGCCGAATTCTTTCTTGGCACACTTTCAAATCCCTCTGAGAAGGAAACTTGCTATGGATATAGAGGGAGGGAGGGAGGGAGGGAGGGCAGTCCCTGCCTTCCAAGGCACCAGACACAGCAATGGACTGTCATCTTGTCCTTGCTGAGAAGGCATGGGAAGGATTCAAAGCAGAGGCTGGGGACAGAGGGGGACTTCTTCACTGACCCCTGCACTGGGTTAGGGAGGCAGCCCAGGAGAAGGGCACTTGTTGCAAGCTGGGGAGCAGCAAGGGCAGACAGAGGCTCTGGGGAAAAGTCTGTCATGTGATCCCAGGCACTCAGTAAACTGAGGCAGCGGACTACTCTCTCTTTTTCTCTCTACAGACACACATACACACTCTGTAGACTCAAACTCACAACCCAGCTGGAGGAGGATCATAATATAACCAAATATACTTATCTGGAAAAAACAAACAAAACCCAAAATATTGTTTTAGGCAACCAAATATTAATGCAGAAGGTTCAAGGAAGAATGCTGGTCCCACTGCCAAGTTATAGCCTGGCCCCTCACTGGGGGATTCTAGGCAGTGATTCTACCCTGAGCCCCAACCCAGCCCCTTTTCTTTTCATTCTGAGATGTCTGACTTAGTTGCCTGAGCTGGCCTTAAACTCAACTCTGTAGGCTTGGCTGACTGGAACCTACCTACCTCAGTCTCCCAAATCCCAGGATGACAGGCATCTGTGGTTTACCCGGCACTCCTCTGAACCCCCCCTCCCATTCCTCCCCTCTCTCGCAGGGATCTGGACTCACCGAGCACTTGATGTTCATGCGTGAGTACAGCATAGATGCAATCTCGCTCTGCCCCGCATCCAGGGCCACCATCAGTGCCGTGCTCCCATCCTGGAAAGCACCCACAACTGTAAAGAAGCCCCGTGTACAACCCGCCTCCCTGGGAGCACCCGGGTGGAAACTCACTCGGTCCGTAAGTGAGATGTCACAGTTAGGCACAGCCAGCAGGAGCCCGGTGATCTCCTTGTGTCCGTGCTCACACGCACACATTAGGGCTGTGGAGCCATCCTCGTCCTGCACGTTGACATCCACCTCGCAGGCCAACAGAGCTTTCACCACATCCACCCGTCCGTGGCTGACTGCCAGCATCAGCGCCGTCTGTCCTGCCTGAGACAACAGGACAGGGGTATAGTACAGAGGCCCAGGGACATCATGTCTCTGCTCTTGAAAGTTCCATGGTTCCCAAGTGCCCTGACACTGACAAGGGTGCTCATGCTGGGCCCTCCTTTGGGCCTCAGCGTAAACTGGTCTTCCTTAGATGGGCTCTGTTGGTTCTAGCCACCTGTACGGTCATCTACCATTAGCCCCCAACCAAACTAGCCAGATGGTGGTGGCACATGCCTTTAATCCCAGGATTTGGGAGGTAGACGCAGGCAGATCTCTATGAGTTTGAGGCCAGCCTTGTCTACAGAGTGAGTTCCAGGACAGTCAGGGACCCTGTCTCCAAAATCCAAAAGAACAAAACAAAACAAACCACAAAAACATACAAAAAACTATATTCGGCAGTAGTGGCACAGACCTTTAATCCTAGCACTTGGGAGGCAGAGGTAAGCAGATCTCTGTGAGTTCCAGACCAGCCTGGGGTACACTATCTCAAAAAGGAGGTGGAGATAACCTTGTTGCAAAATAGGTGAAGTGCTGGCTTTGCAGGCACAAGGAGCCAAGTTCCATCAGAAAGAACCTGTGCACAATCGGGTCCACATGTGACTTGTGATCCCAGCACCTGGGAGGCAGAGGCTGGAGGATCCTACACAGCCAGTCTAGGGGACTGGTGAGTCCTAGATTTAGCATGACATGCCTTAAAATTCACAGTCCTCTTGAATGTTGGAGAGATAATACTGCTTCTCTGAATCCCATGTGCACATAACGCTATCAGGATCTGGCTTGGCCCAGGTGGTCCAGGGGCAGGTGAGAGGACTCAGTGGGTAAGGCACTTGTCACCAAGCCTGATGACCTGAATTTAATCCCTGGGACCCACATGGCAGTAGGAGTGAACTACGTCTCAGAACTGTCCCTTGGCCTCCACAAGTGCACCATTGGCAAAGGCTCCCACCCCTAGTAAATAAATTAAATAAAGGTACCCTGCAGCCCCATACCTGGCTGGCTTTGGCGTTCACATTCCCAAGCCGGAAGAGTTGAAGGATGGTCTCTATGTCATCCTGGGTCTTCAGGGTGGCCAGAGCAGTGAGCATGATGGGGCTGTAGCCAGCACGGTTCAGTTTGTCCACCTGACAGACACCTGTGTGGGGAGGGTGGGGATGGGTTGGGTGTGAGCCTCTGCCATCAGGACTAAAGGCTAGCCCACCACAGTGAGCACTGGGGATTGTGCCCCTCCCTGCCTAGGCATAGCTGAACAGGTCTCTGTATGTGTGTTCATGGGCTTGTGGAGAGCCGAGTGTATTCTTCAGGAGCCAGGAACTTGAGTTTGTGTTTTGTTTGGTTTGTGTGTTTAAAAATATTTTAGAGCCGGGTATGGAGGTGCACACCTTTAGTCCCAGCACTTGGGAGGCAGAGGTAGGTAGCTCTCTGAGTTTGAGGCCAGCCTGGTCTACAAAATGAGTTTCAGGACAGCTAGGGCTGCACCAAGAAACTGTCTTGAAACACACACACACACACACACACACACGTTTTTTTTTTTTAATTTATTTAACTTTATTTTATGTGTATTGGTGTGAAGGTGTCAGATCACCTGAAACTGAAGTAACAGACAGTTGTGAGCTGCCATGTGGTTGCTGGGAATTGAACCCCGGGCAGTGCTCTTAACCACTGAGCCATCTCTCCAGCCCCCCACACACAGAGTTTTAAAAGAGATTTATTATGTTTTAATTTTTGGTGTGTGTATGGGCAGGAGAGTACAGGTGCCCCAATGGTTCTCAAGAGGGACCTCTTTAGGTAGAGTTACCGACAGTTGGGATATGGAGGCTGGGAACTAAACGTGGGTCCCCTGTCAGAGTAGTACCCACTTTTTGCCACTGGAGCATCTCTGTATCTCCCTAAACTAGTTTTTAACATCTGTTTAGTTAGTTGGGATCAGGGTATGCCACTGTGTCCTGCGGAGGTCAGAGGACAGTTTGCGGCAGTTGTTTTCTCTCCCTCCAACTTATGGGTCTGGGGATCCACCTTAGGTCTTCAGGCTTGGCAGAAAGTGTCCTACCCACTGAACCATCTGATGCCCTAACCTTCTTAAAAAGCCTTATGAGTGTGTGTAGTCCATAATTGCACACATGGAGGCGAGGGTGTGCAGTCTGTATGTGCACACATGGAGGTGAGGGTATAGTCTGTGTATGCACACATGGAGGTGAGGGCATAGTCTGTGTGTGCACACATGGAGGTGAGGGTATAGTCTGTATGTGCACACATGGAGGTGAGGGCATAGTCTGTATGTGCACACATGGAGATGAGGGCATAGTCTGTATGTGCACACATGGAGGCGAGGGTCAGGGTGCTTCTTTTATTGCTCTCTGCCTCATTTTTTTCGTATCTCTCCTCATTTTTGAGATGAGATATGCCACTGTCAGGCAGCAAGTTCCAGGACTGTCCCCACCCCCATCTCACTCCCAAAGGCTAGGTTTTTGGCATATGCCTCTATGTCTGACTTTTTTTTTTAAACTTGGGTGTTGGGGACCTGAACTAAGGTCACGGTGGCAGGAAAAGTACTTTAGTCACAGAGCCACCTCCCTGGCCACCATTTTTTCTTTTTCCCCTTTTTCCCTTAAGGTCCTTGTCCTGGAACTTGCCAAGGCTAGAGTCAGAGGCACCCGCTGCCACACACAGCTTTTCCTGAAGGTCCTCACGCCTGCACGGACAGTACTTTACAACTCAGTCTGGTCCACAGCCTCCCCCACACCCCCACCGCTCCTGTTCTCAAATGGGGAGTCCCATTTGATACAGTCATACTGTTACTCCAATATATGAGACTGTGCCTCCTCTCCCAGACCTGGGGTGCCCAGCCGAGAATAGAAGCAGTGTCTCCCCTGGGAATTTGGAATTGCCATTCAGCCTTCCAACCATCAAACCATGGGTCCTGCCTCCTTCATAGACTGGGAGGTTCTGCCTTCTCCATTAGATCAGGGAAGACATGTTTCTTCTGCCTGACTGAGTACCATGTGTACTCTCCAATCCCCAGCCCAGCGGCCACAGGCTTCCCTCATGCAAGGGCTTTGGAAACAGTGTCCATTACACCGGTAGCACTCAGTGATGACACCAGTGCTGTAACATCAAGACTGAATTCATTATAATGCTAAGGAGAGGACGGAGTCCTCCCAGCACACTGCAAGGGCACAGCCTGCCTACCAGACTGGGAGGGCTACATTCCGCCATCAAACTAGGAAACAGAGCTTCGTCCATCAGACTGGGAGGGCAAAGCCTCCTCATCAGTCAGTGACGGGCACACTCTCCCTCCACATTCTTGCCTCCATCAGATCGAGAGTAGAAGCTCCCTCAGAGTAAGAAAGCACAGTGCCTCCCCCATCAGATTGGGGAGCTGTGACCCCTGCTCACCACCCCTCCCTCCATCAGACTGTGAAGGGAGAAGAAGCTTTAGACCAGGAAGGCAGCGACTCTCTCTTATGAGCTTGGGAAGCCATGCCTCCCCCATCAGACCATCAGGCTGGTCCTGCCTGGAGGCTTACCGCTGTCCAGCAGCTGCCGCACCACAGGGAAGTTGGCGTGTGACACGGAATAGTGCAGGGCCGTGTTGCCGTTGCTGTCGGCGATGTTGACCACATAGTCCAGCAGCCGGGCAGACATGGCCCTGAAGGTGACCAGATGTCGTCGCACAAGCTCGGGGTGTGCATCACTCCGGCAGGCCAGGCGCAGCCATTCCTGAAGTACCGTGGTATAGGCCACTTTCTGGATACAGACAGCAGGAGCAGGGAGTGAGGACAGGGACACCCTATCCCCTTCTGTACAAAGATCCAAGAACAGAAGTGGGATCCACCATCCTACAGCAAAAACAGAGGTGCCAACGGGTGGCGGCGGCATACGCCTTCAGTCCTAGCACGAGGGAGGCAGAGGCAGGTGGATCTCTGAGTTTGAGGCCAGCTTGGTCTAGAGTGAATTCCAGGACAGAAAAGGTTATGCAGAGAAACCCGGTCTCGAAAAACAAGCCAACAAACCCAAGCCAAACCAAATAAAAAATAACAGTGGTGTCCTTGGCTGGGTAAGGTACTACATGTCTGATATCAGCACTCAGGAGCCCAAGGAAGGTAAATGTAGAGCTCAAGGCCAAACTGGGCTGTGTATAGAGAAATTCTCTGAAAAAACAACAAAAACCAAAAAACTCCCAAAAAGTCATGAAGCAGAGGCAGGAAGATTTCAATGAGTTCAAAGCTGGTGGCTAGAGAGATGGCTCAGAGGTTAAGAGCACTGGTTGTTCTTCCAGAGGTCCTGAGTTCAATTCCCAGCAACCACATGGTGGCTCACAACATCCGTAATGAGATCTGGTGCCTTCTTCTGGCCTGCAGGCATACATGCAGGCAGAACACTGTATACATAATAAATAAATCTTTAAAAAAAAGATTTTATTTATTTATTATGTATACAACATTCTGCTTCCATGTATATCTGCACATCAGAAGAGGGCACCAGATCTCATAACGGATGGTTGGGAGCCACCATGTGGTTGCTGGGAATTGAACTCAGGACCTCTGGAAGAACAACCAGTGCTCTTAACCTCTGAGCCATCTCTCCAGCCCCAATAAATAAAATCTTTCAAAAGAAAATGGGCTTGAAGCCAACCTGATCTGCATAGCAGTTTCAGGCCAGCCAGGGATATATAGTGAGACCCTGTCTCAAAAGACAAATCTAGTAAAGTGGTATAGGCTTGCAATCCTAGCACTTGGGAGATGGAAGCAGGAAGATCAGGAGTTCAGGGTCATCCTTAGCCACAAATGTAGTTCAAGGCCAGCCTGGGCTACATGAGACCTCAAAACAAGCAAAATGAAAACAAACAAAATAATGGTCTTTGCCTCAACCACAGTGGAAGATTTGGCACTCGGGTGCACGGGACCCTTGGAATGTAGTATGCATCTGTCCCCACAGACTCTAAGAAAATTATGGACACAGCCCCTAAAATGAAAGTATGGTATCTCCCAAGCACCCCAAAATAACTCCCCAGGCAACAGTGACCCCACCACCAATCCCAGGATTCAAGCCCCACCCACCACTGACACCCTTGGTGGCTGGGTCCTCACTAAGTGGGTGCAGAGAGACCCTGAGAGTGGGGAGGCGTGGTGTGAGGATAGAGCGGCACCCTTGGACCCAGGGATCCTCCATACCAGTTCTCGCTCAGTGAGGGCATTAGGGTTCTCCAGGTATTTCTCCAGGGCCAAGCAGGCTGAGATGAGGTCAGGGCTCAGATCCATCCTGCCAGGAACAGATAAGATTGAGTGCTCATTATTTTACTTTTTAAAAATTTATTCATTATTTGGTTTTAGCTTTTTATTTATTTATTTATTTATTTTTACTTTTTTTCTTTTCTCCTAATACAGGATTTCTCTGTGTAGCCTTGGATGTTCTGGAACTCCCTCTGTAGATCAGGCTGGTCTTGAAATCACAGAGATCTGCCTTCCTCTGCCTCCTGAGTGCTGGGACTAAAAGGCGAGTGCCACCAACGCCTGGCTTTATTTCCTCCCTCCTTCCTTCCTTTCTTCCCTGCCTCCCTCCCTCTCTTCTCTCCTTTCTATCTATCTATCTATCTATCTATCTATCTATCTATCTATCTATCTATCTATTTTAATGTGCACTGGGGCTTTGCCTGCATGTATGTATATCTGTGCACCACGTGTGGCTAGTACTCGAAGAGGCCAGAAGAGGGTTTTGGATTCTCTGGAACTGTAGTTACGGAGAGTTGTGAACTGCTATATTGTTGTGTAACAGTTTCCTCTGAGATTGAAACATTCTATCCTTCAGGAAGCTCCTTGAACAGGAAGGGCAAACAACTAAAAATAGCTTCAGGAAGTCCCTGAAACTGACCAGATTCACTAGGTCCCTCCTTGCCCTCCTTGTCAGAGTAGGCAATAAAAGCCGAGGCCAGACCAGCTGCCTGGGAGAAGCAGAAACCAGCCGAGCTGCTTGGAGTTGGTTTGGGCCACCTGGGCACCTGGAAAGGACACGCTCCACCCTGTGCAGCTGCCTGCAGGCTGTGCCTTCTGCTCCGGATTCCCAGCTTTGTGAGTTGTCACTCATGCTGGGGTGGGCCTTGGAGATGCAGCTGTGTTAGAGTCATTTCTGCTCCTGTAAGTGACCCCTCATCCATATGCCTGTAAGTGATCCCAGTAAAACTCATTGGTTCACCAAGTTGGACTTTGGTGGTATCTGTACTTTGGTCTGTTTTGGATACCCTATCTGGATTGAGTAGATGTGTGTATTGTGTCTCCCCAGGAAAAGCTTGTCACACAACACATTCAGGTGTGAAGAATCGAACTCAGGTCCTCTGGAAGAACTAGTGCTTTTAACTGGACAGCCATCTCTCCAGACCTCTCCCCATTTTTTGAGACATGGTCTCATGTGTCCCAGGTTAGCTTCAAACTCAATAGGTCAGGTTCATTGCCAGGGCTGGTGGACCTGATTGATTGGGAATCCAGGTACTTGGAGATAGAGGCAAGATTAGAGGTTCAGGGCCAGCCCAGCTTCCAGTGAGCTAAAGGCTAGTTTGGGAGCAATTATACGTAAGAAGTATGAAGACTGGGGGTAGAGATGTGAGTCAGTTGTTACACTGCCTAACAGTGAGGCCCTGGGGTCCAGCTCAGCAGCCATAAACTAGTAACACTCAGGAATTGGAGGCAGTAGGACTGTAATTCAAGGTAGCCTGGGCTACAGAGTGAGTTCAAGGTTAGCCTGGGCTACAGAGTGAGTTCAAGGTTAGCCTGGGCTACAGAACTTATCTCAAAATAAAAAGGGAGGGGGTGGGAAGTAGAAAAGGGCTTGCCGTGTAGGTGTGAGCGCAGGAGTCCACATGCCCAGAACACACAGAATGCACATGGGTGGAAGACAGGTGATCTGCAGAACATGCTAGCTCCATAGACTGGGCTGCACAGTCAGCTGGGCCAGGGACGGACTGACTCAGTAGATACGGAGGAGGTGGCAGAAGAAGACACCGAACACCAGTCCTTCCCTCCCCCACGAACACACACGCACGCACGCACGCACGCACGCGCATATACCTACACAAACACATACATCCACACCATACAGAAACACAAAACAGTCCTATGTGCATACACATGCGTACATACAGTACACATACCCACACCACACACACAAAAAAACACTAAAAAAAGAGGAAAAGACAACACTGACTCGGAGCCTTCACACGCATACATACCTCATACACATCCACAAACACATGTGCACACACATGACACATACATATGAGTCACAGGTAGGTGGGCCTGAGTCTGAGGCCAGCCTGGTCTACTCAGTGAGTTCCAGGCCAGCCAGGGCTATATCATAAGACCCTGTCTTAAAAAGAAAAGAAAACTTTCAGACACACTCAGAAACAGGTGGTTTCTGTCTGACTAGAGTGTGAGTGACTGACAGGAAGCCTGAATGGCCGGATCCAAGGCAGCAGCAGGTCACCCATCCTTCACCTTGTTCTATGCTGTCCCACCCAGAAAACTGACCGAATTTCCTCCTCAGAGTTGGGTCCTGATGTCACCTCAGCTGTGGGTTTGTGCTGAGCTTCCTGGGGGAGTTGGCTCTCTTCCAGACTGGTCTTGGCCGCTGCAGTCCCTGGAGGCCTAACCTGAGGGCATTCAGCCATGCTCAGAACCCTTGCTGGTATCTCTGGGGCTTCGTTCTCTGTGCTCTCGTGTTCTGAGTTTTCTGCTGTGCTGGAGTCTTCTGAGGAGGACTCATACCTAAGGAGTACAAGAGGGGACACTGATGGGGACGTGAGTGGGAGGATCAGTTAGACCTCCCTGGTCCTCGGCTTCTCCACATTTTGCATTAGTAAGTCACATGCTAGGCAAGCAGGTGTCTAAAAGCCCCGGTCCAGCCCCTCACCGGGGGACTGGAGTACCCACGGTCCTCCATTTCCAACCATGCCACACTAGAACTGTCACTCAGCCTCGCTGCAGACCTGCAGTGCTCTATCAGGGCACTATTCTGAATCGGGCTCCAGAGCCACCAAATGGGTTCCAACAAGGTGTACATGCTCCTTTGCCTCAGTTTCCTTTTCCTATACTCCTTATACTTTGACTTGAGGAGGGGCCTGGCTGAGAGTGGCTCTCAGCAACAGGGAAAGCTCAGGCGTCCTGTTCCCAATCTTCAGAATCACAGTATGAAGGACTTTGGGGAGCCGCTGGGGCTGGTAATCCACTCACCCGCCGTTGACTCCCACAAACTGGAGGCTCCTCTGGTGGACTCCAGGGTCTGCAGGGTCCTCTGTCCTCTTCATGGTAGACTGCACTCCCACAAAGACTCTGCCTAAAAGACACCAGGCAACATGAGTGCCCCTTGGTTCACAGTCCACTCTGCATGAATGGGGTCCCATCTCCCTTGCTGACGTCTCTTCACCTGCTCCCTCAGCCACTTGTGGCTCCTGGGATGCTGACGGCCTGGGAGGCTCCCTGTCAGTGGTGTCCGGGGCAGCTGCCTGGCCAGGGTTCTCAGACTGTTTTGTGGAAGCTGCAGGAGGGTGTACAGCAGAGGAAGAAGGGTCTACAGGAGACTGTGGAACACCTGAAACGACAAGAGTGTGGATTCAGATGGAGATCAAAAAATGAAATAGGCCGAGTGTGGTGCTCCAGGCCCGCTGCTGCAGGACAGAGGCAAGAGATTAGCCTGGGCTATAGAGTGAGACCTTGTCTATAAAATGCATAAACAAAGCTGGGCTCAACAATAGAGCACGTTGGTGGAGAATGCCTTCAATCCAAGCCCTGGGGAGGAAGAGGCAGGAGGATCTCTGTGAGTTAGAGACCAGCCTGGTCTATAAGAGCTACTTCCAGGACAGCCTCCAAAGCCACAGAGAAACCCTGTCTCGAAAAAACAAACAAAAAACAAAAACAAAATACCCAAAAAACCACCAACAACAAAGAAACAAAAGCAATAGAGCACTCACCTAGCATGTACCAATCCCAGCACCACATAAACCCGGTGTGGTGGTATAGGCCTGAAATTCTAGCACTCAGGAATGGAGGAGGCAGGAGGGTTACAACAAATTGGAGGATAGTCTGGGTTAGAGAGTGAGATCCAGTCTCAAAAACCAAACAAACAGCAGAAAAACAAAGGGTTGGGTTATACTGGAGAGATGGTTAGTGGTTGAGAGCATGCACTACTCTTCCAGAGAACCTGAATTCTGGTTCCTGCACCCATGTCAGTTAGCTCACCATAGCCTAAAACTCCAGCTCCTGCAGATTTACTGTTCTCTTCTGGCCTTTGTGAGCATCTCTTCACATAAATAACAGTAAATATTTAAATACACACACAGACATGCATACACACAGATACAGAGACACAGGCAAACAGACAGACACAGACACTCACACACACACACATAGACACACACAGAGACAGACCTCTGTCTCTCTCTCTCTCTCTCTCTCTCTCTCTCTCTCTCTCTCTCTCTCTCTCTCTCTCTCACCCCCCACAGATACACATACACAGAAACAAGAGATGGGCCATAACCTGTATAGTGGAAGGAGAGAACCCACACGCAAGCTGTCTTAGACTCCTGCACACTCAATGGCACACCTTCACCCACTAATTAAATACATGCAATTTAAAACTTTTGGCCAGGGAGCTGGAGAGATGGCTCAGAGGTTAAAGGCACTGACTGTTCTTTCAGAGGACCTGAGTTCAATTCCCAGCAACCACATGGTGGCTCCCAACCATCTGTAATGAGATCTGGTGCCCTCTTTTAGTGTGCAGATATACATGGAAGCAGAAAGTTGTATGCATAATAAATAAATAAAATATTAAAAAAGAAACAAAATGAAACAAAAAACCCCAAAACCTTTGGCCAGGTGTGATGGCACGCACCTTTAATCCCAGCACTCAGAAGGCAGAGGCAGGCAGATCTCTGTGAGTTAGAGGCCAGCCTGGTCTGTAGACTGAGTTCTAGGTCAGCCAGGGCTTCACAGTGTGATCCTATCTCAAACAAATGAAACAGGGAAATGAACTCAAGGTAGATGCTAGTTGGGACAGGGCTTGCTTTGGAAGCCTGGGGACCTGAGTTGATCCCTAGATCCACACAAATCGGCACTGCACGCTATGAGCTTGTCATCGGTGACCCTGGAGCTGGGGTTGATGGCTTCCAGACTAGTCCTTTGGTAAATCCAGGCCTGTGAGTGATCCCCTCTGTCTCAGAGGTGTCCTCCGACTTCCACAGCACATCAGCAAACCACCTGACAGTCATGATGGCCACGTACAATACAGCCGGAGTACGTGGGACAGACAAGCTAAACCTTCCATCAAAACCTCCACCCCATGAAGGGCTCAGATCATAGAAGGAGGAGACCAAGGCCCAGTAAGTTGCTGAAATCACTGAGCTGCATAGTACCACCACAGCTTAGAGTTGTCAGCCAGCAGCCTGCAAATGACAGAGCCCTCAGAGCCTCACAGTCCTGGCTTCAGACTCAACCTCTCACACTATGTCACACAGAGTATTTTCTAGAGAAAAAAAAATATTCAATTGAGGCCAAGAGCATGGTGGTCAGAACAGAGGTTCAAACTTCATATGGGGGCTGTGTGACCCAAGCAAGTATCTTAATATCTCTGTCCCCACCTCCAAATTCTTTTAACTCATAGTATTACTATATAGCCCAGGCTGCCTAGAACTTGGAGCAATTCTTCTTTTTTTGAGTGTGACTGTAGATGCATGTGACTGTGCGTGCATGCAGGTGCAGTTGCCACAGCACAGGTGAAGTCACAGGAGAGCCTCTGTTGAGGTTTTCACTGTTGGTCTTATAGAGACAGCTCTCCTGCTGCTCGCTGTGTGCCAGGCTGGCTGGCCTTTGGGCTTCAGGACTCTCCTGTCTCTGCCTCCCGTCTTCCTGTAGGAGTGCTTGGGTTATGTACCACAACACCCAGCTTTACTGGGCTCTACAGATTCAATCTCAGATACTCACAGTTGCCCAGCAAATGCTTTCCCTAACCAAGCTGCCTCCCTAAGCCCTTCGTCATGACTCTTTTTTTTTTAAATTTATTTATTAATTATGCATACAGTCTTCTGCTTGTAAGTATACCTGTAGGCCTGAAGAGGGAACCAGATCTCATTACAGATGGTTGTGAGCCACCATGTGGTTGCTGGGAATTGAACTCAGGACCTTTGGAAGAACAGCCAGTGTTCTTAACCTCTGAGCCATCTCTTCAGTCCCTCGTCATGACTCTTTAAGGAACACACACAGTTGCATTCTTTGCCTAAGCCAAGTGAGAAACAGACATTCAACAGGTATGAGTTTGGCCACCAGGAAAAGGGAACAGGAGCCATTAGAAAAATTTAAAAACTAAAACTTAATTTATATTCTCCAAGACCAGCTCACTGCTATAGCTTAGGCTGGCCTCAAACTCAAAGAGACTGCTTTCCTCGGTTTTCCAAGTGCTGGGATTAAAGGTAGGAGCCACCACCAGCATCATCATTATTATTATTTTTTTTTTAAAACATAAGCGATTCACTGCTTCCTGAAGTTCCTGGGCGCTGCTCAAGTTCTGCAAGGAACTTAAGTACTTTTTCTTCACAAGCCGAGTGCAGACAGGACAGGGTGGGGTGAGATGCTTGGCTACAAATCTGTCCAAATGCAGTATAGTCTAGGGTGTGGTGACCCCAGCTGACACCAGAACTGGAGTCACACTGTGAGCCAGGGCCAGTGCTGGGGCGTGTCAGGCTCTCATTTATTATTACTTTGTGGTATTGGGGAAGGAACCCCAGGTTTGTGTCCATTGCTGCAGTATTTATTTTTTCTCAGAGCTGAGGCCTGAACCCAGGACCTTGCTCTTGCTGGGCAAGCACTGTACTGCTGAGCTAAATCCCCAACCCCTACTGCAGTATTCTTAACTGAGCTGTGGCTCTGGCTTGCTCATTGTCTTTTTTGAGATAGAGTCTCATGTGGGCCAGGCTGGCCTCGAACTCTCTGCCTCTACTTTCCAAGTCCTGGGATAGAACCTGGACCTCCCTGTACTGTAAGCCTGTAACCCAGCAACTGAGCTATATCCTTAGGCTCTTTTTGTTGTTGTTTGGGGGTCTCTCTCTATAGTCCAGGCTGGCTTTGTGTGGAAGATCCTCCTGCCTGAGTCCCAAGTGCTGGGATAACAGGCATGCACCACCATGCCTGATTTAAAGCTCCGGATCTAAAATGCTGGGGATGGGGATGGGCGGCACAGCTCTGTGGCCAAGGGAGCATGCCTGCTGACCCGAGTTCATCTCTAACTGAACACAGTGGTAGGATTCTGCAATTCCAGGGTTCCCATGATGAGATGGGAGGCAGAGAGAAGAGGACCCTTGGAAGCCCTCGGGCTAGTCTGGAAACCTAGCAGTGAACAAGAGAGAAACCTTGCTTCAAATAAGGCAGAAGGTGAGGACCAGTGTTTGAGTCCACGTCCCTTTTGTGGCCACATGCTTGCTCCCCAATGCATCATACACCTTAAGAATAAAAACAGAAAAAATAAACCTTAGATACACCTGGTGTGCTGGCTCATCCCCATAAGCCCAGGCACCAGAGTCAGGGGTCTAAGGCTGGAAGGACATGAGTTTGAGGCCAACCTACATATATGTATATGTACTATATATGTGTGTGTGTGTGCGATATATATAGTATATGTGCTCTCTCTATGTGTGTATACTATATGTATGTGTACTGTATATGTATGTACTATATATGAGTGTGTGCACTGTATGTGTGTACTATATATGCTTGTACTGTATGTGTGTGAACTAGACATATGCAATAAATATCCTATGTGAAGAAGGAAGGAAGACAAAAGAAAAAAACAAACAAACAAATAAAACAGGTTAAAAGGCTCCTTCCAGGGGGGCTGGAGAGATGGCTCAGAGGTTAAGAGCACCAACTGCTCTTCCAGAGGTCCTGAGTTCAATTCCCAGCAACCCCATGGTGGCTCACAACCATCTGTAATGAGATCTGGTGCCATCTTCTGGTGTGCAGATATACATGGAAGCAGAATGTTGTATACATAATAAATAAATAAAAAAGGCTCCTTCCAGGTCAGGCATAGTGGCACAGGCCTTTAATCCCAGCATCAGGAGATAGAGGCAAGTTGATCTCTGTGAGTTCAAGGCCAGACTGGTAAACAGAGCAAGCTCCAAGACAGCCAAGGCCACACAGAGAAAACCTGTCTTGAAAACTAAAAATGAAACAAAGCAAACTATCAGTGGGGAAAAAAACCCAACAACTTCTCTAGGTCCAACAAGAAGACTCACAGGGTAAAGGTACACGGCACCAAGTCTGACAATCTAGTTTGATCTCTGGGACCCACACAGTGGAAAGAGTGCACACACTCATATATAGTACATACTATACAGTACACATACATATAGTATACACACATAGAGAGAGCATATATACTATATATATCGCACACACACACATATATAGTACATATACATATATGTAGGTTGGCCTCAAACTCATGTCCTTCCAGCCTTAGACCCCTGACTCTGGTGCCTGGGCTTATGGGGATGAGCCAGCATACCAGGTGTCTTCTGCAAGTTGTCCTCTGATACCCTT